GCATTATCAGATACCTGGCATCTGGGTGTGACCTTGTTAACTGCCAGGGTAATCAACTTTAACCATTGGGGAGGAGAGGGAGAGGGAGAGAGAGAGAGAGAGAGAGAGAGAGAGAGAGAGAGAGAGAGAGAGAGAGAGAGAGAAGGTGGTGGTGGTGGGGGGGGGGGGGGGGGGGGGGGGGGTTGAGGGTGATAAATTATTAGCGAGGAAGATTTTGTTCGCGTTTTTATTAAATTGGCCTGTCAAAGGGGGTCGGCCAAATTATCTGGGGCCTCGTTCGTTGGAGGCCGGCCATGTTGGCGCATCTGTTACAATTATTTATAATTTTCCAGGCGGTCGGGAGGACTGACTGGGGCTGTTCGGCATCGAGCGCATAAAGCAATTTACAATTTAACCGATGTGGGAGTGTCTCGACTCTTTCTCTGCCGATCGCTCCGTCCGTAATATCTGTCTGGCCTCTGCTGGTTGCTAACCACCGCTTTTTTTTAATGCAGGAAATAGAAAACAAAAGAAAATAAATGAAAGGATAAATAAATAAACCATGCGGTGCTGATAATGGAGAAAGGAAAAGAAAAGTTAGAGCTGAAACGTATCAGACTCTGCGATTAAAGAAGCAAAAAAAAAAGTGAAAGAGCAACAGCTGTAAATGAAGGTGAAGATAGAAAGTACAAAAAAAGAAAAGAAAAAAGACAAGACAAGGAAAAGTGCATGCAAGTGCAACCAGAAAACAAGAATGTGGGGGGAGACACAGGGTGGTGGGATGATGGAGGCGTGGGGGTTGGAAGAGAGAGAGAGGGAGAGAGGCGGGTGTGGGGGTGGTGGGGGGTGGTGGAGGGAGAACAAGAAGGGGAAGGAGAAAAAAATCTGGTGCTCTGTAATTACAGAACACGATTAGGTTCTTGAGGGAGCTCGTCTGGCGCGCGCGGCCCTTTGCCGGCGAGGATGCGGCGCTACGACCATATGGAGCGGGGCTTGCGATGGCGCTCCCCGACGCTCATGACCCGTCTGCTGCCGAGCCCTTGAGCTGAATGTGAAATGAGACTTGCCAGGCCTAATGTTCTACACATGCACCATTTATGCCACAAAACAAATCTGATCACTGTTAATTATGGAGCAGCCATAATCAGGGAGGGCCAAACGTGCATGCACACAAATACAGACAGAGACGCACACACACACACACACACACACACACACACAGATAGAAAGACAGACACGCGCATACGAAGACACAGAGAGGCAGGGCATTGTGAAGTGCATGGAGAGAGGATGGGAGTCAGGGCTCGCAGGAAAACAATACAGCCTGCTACCACTGGCTGCTCAAACACCATCGCCATCAGCCCCAGCCCACACACACTTTACACTGTGGAACACACCACTCCTGGGGTGTGTGTGTGTGTGTGTTTGTGTGTGTGTGTGTAAAAAGGACATACGTCTCTATATCTATGTATGTGGGTTTGTTTTTCGTGCGGGAGCACCGGTTCTTCCCACACATGACCAAGTTGACCTGTATGAGTGCTATGTATGTTATGTATGCGTGTATACATAACAGGCATGTATACATCCACTGTATTGAGCAGCAGGCGGCTGTGGTTTATTTAATTGGGAGGGGTGGGGTTGGGGAGACCAGGGTCTAATGAGAAGAGTGGAGCTGGTAAAACACACGCCACTGGAGTCCATGTCGTTAGCATGGACTCCATGTCATTAGCATGTCTCAAGCTGGATGGACATGGCACTGTTCCAACTTGCACAAACACACACATGTACACATGCACACACATACCCACGTGCATGCACACACACACACACACACACACACACGTGCAGGCATACACAAAACACACGTTCACCCACACACACACACACACTAATGCATATACACACACACACAATCACAGAATTTATGTAAGAACAAATAATAACACAGGGCTATAACAAGGACCTATTAAAATGTATAGCCATGGGCTGTGGGTATACCAGTGAGTACAATTAGAAGGATCTAGTTTGAATCTTTTAACACCATGCTTACATGTATTGAATGCATGGTCATAGGAGACAACTGCAATGCATTGTCCTGTCATCAAAAGACTATACAGCCTAGTACAATATACATTCAAATATGTACTTTTTAATTAAACGGTCTTCTTTGACTGTCATGAAACATACGTACGCATCACCATTCACAAACCTTTCGATATGAATTGTATTTCGGCGTACAGTGGATCCCGTTCGACCGTAAAAGCTGTTTGAATTCTGTCGACGCGCTCGCAGAACACGACTCCTCAATCAATTTTCTTTGTAACACTTTGACTTCATCTTTTTTTTTTCTCCCCCCTCCATCGGACGTTTGATATTAATGATGATGATGATCAAAAGAAACACCTCGTCTGAAACCAAAAACATGACCCGCCATACAGCGGGCTGCCGCTACCTGTGCGTAACTGGCACTTTAATTATACATCTGACAACTTTTTGATTGGCTTACATTAATATCAGGCGGGCAGCAGATGTTTAAAAAGCATCACAACTAGCTGAGGGAGAGGCACCACATGGACGACGGTGAAAATAGGGAAAAAAAATAATAATCAAGGAGGAAAAAAAAAAAAAAGAAAAAAGAGGGAAGCTGGTCACCTTGGGAAAACGGTTGCCGACTGGTACTAGGTATCCAATCTATTAAGCCTTCACGGGCGACTCTTCTAAAGTAGCTGTCACGCTCTGCCGCTCGTCGAATAAGGACTTTGACAGAATGTGTTAATGTGAAATCCGGCGCCAAACTTTTTTTTCTTCTCTTTTCACGCCGTGAATGAAAAATGTCTAATTTTTCATTTCCGCAATGGCAGTGCTGAGAGAATAATTGGCGCTTTGAAAGGCTGCCCATGCAAACACACACTCACCGTTGGTTTATTGCGGTCAAGGTTCCAGAAAGCCCGAGGTCTAGCGTGAATCCTAATGTTGGTCTTTAATCACCGTACTGCAAGAACAGTAGCCAGGCATGCAAACAGCGAGGAAAATGACAGTTGGGGAGTTCGGATGCTAATGACCCAAACACTACAACCCTGGAAAACTACGGCTCGGTTTTCCAGGCAAACTGATTGGGGATAACCCCCCCCCCCCTCCCCGCCCGCCTGCCTGGAGGTGGTGGTGGTAAGACTTAACCTGGAAAACCTCTCCAAAGTTAACTTTTCAACCTGGCAACTTGTCTCGCCGACACCATCCCAGTCACCGGGATGCTAACTAGCCGGGCCAGGCCCTACAGCTAGCCAATCAGGGAAGAGCTATCCTCTCCTTTCAAACTTTTTTGAACACGCTTTGCTGCTTTTTTGCAGAGTAAACACAAACACACACACCCAGACACCCAAACCCTAACACATAGCGAACACACATGACTCTAGTGTTTGTGTTTCTATGTTGTTACTCTTAATGCGGTGAACGCTTTTTGTGTGTGCGGGACGAACCGACGAAGCAAACAAATGAGTCCCGACGAACACGGTCAAAAACAGATGTTTTACGCCAACCTTTCCCCCCCCCCAGCCCCACATACCAGCGTGCCTCTGTGTGAAAAGCCCAGTGAAGCCGCGCAGGTCTAACAGGGCTTAAGGAAGGGGAGAGCGAGACGGACAGCCGATCTTAGAGGGATGCATAAGACACAATAGGCGTGATTCGACCCCACCCCCCCCCACACACACACACCCCACACCCACCCCCCCCGTGCCTTCACCACGGACCTCCACGGGGTGGGTTGTTCAAAGCCGTCGCGCTGGTCCGTATTCAAATGAGCACAGCGTCTGGCCCTCCCAGCCCCCCCACCCGCCCCGCACTTCAGCACTTTGATCATCTCCAGCGGTAACAATCCAGCGGCATAAAGAAAAAAAAAAAAGTTAAAATCAAATCTGCCTTAACAACCTGGGCATTACAATTTTAACAGGTGTTCGGGAGGAAGTTGTTACAGAATCGGCTATTATTACATACCGCCGGAACGCATACGCACACCTCAGCGCCTCGGTGGACCTCAAACGTGCGCGCGCGCGCGCACACACACACACACACACACACACACACACCGCACACGTGCACGCCCTGTCAGTGCGGTTATTCGGTGGGAAATGGTGAGCCCGCCTGACGCAGTGCTACACCTCAGGACGGGCTGACGATACGCTCACTTTGATGTCAAAAGTTAAAGCAGCGGCAAACACAGCTAGACACCACCTACATGTGTTCAGTAAACATACGGTAATCACAATAATAATAATACCTGAAAGAGGTATGAATGCATTCTGGATTATTTATATATATTTATATATATACATATATATTCAGCAACTTGAAAATGTGTCATGTGGTTTTTATTCTTTATTTGTATTCTGATTGGTGTGAAAGCTTACAGAAAGGGCTCAAACACACACACACATACACACACACACACACACACACACACACACACACACACACACACACACACACACACACACATACACATACTCAGGCAGGCGTGCACGAAAAAAAAGAAGAAATACGAGCACTGCCTGCAGTTCCTGTGAATGTAGTATTAATTACTGGGGGAACACATCATAGCTGTACTTAATTACCCACTAATTGATCCATTTATATTTCGACGTCCGTTAAATGAACGAGGTTAAGAGAGATGCAGCGATTGTAACTCACTTAACATTTGAGCTGATATCCTTTGACTTCTGCAGTCCAGGGGCGCGCATGTCAGCCTGTCGGATTAACGTACAAAATAAACATTCAATTTGCGGGGCGAGGAATAAAACAAATCGCCAGCTGAACCGCTTAAAGCTCTGCTCCTGACGGCGAACGCCGAGTCTGACTCAACGTCTGCTGCACAGTCTATACGTGAAGCGCATCGCTCGGCAGTTCAGGCATCCTGGAGGTCCAACTATAAACTCAAGACTAACATTTATAAAGGAAGAACTCACGCCCCGCTGACACGGCCCACAACAACAGACCACGCCAGAACTAGAACCTGAAACTAGAATCCGTCTAGCTCAACGGTTATAGCGCGGCGTTCGCACTGCCGGGGGTTACGGGGTTCGATTTCCCCTTCCAAGAACGCGCACACTCGTGATATCGTAAGATACTTTGGATAAAAGCGTCCGACAAATGACATGTTTTACATGTTAGCTGGGTCGGAGGCCCGTCCTCCTCTGCTCATTCACCGCCGCCCGCCGAACGTCTCGATGCGGCGCGGTCCCAGGAACACCCAGCGCAAATCATTAGGAGTTATTAACGGCCATTTTCCTTGACGGCTGCGGCGCTAACGCGCTAACTCGCTAACTCACTACCTTGACCCACCGCCCTCGACACCCTCATCCACCACCGTCCCCTTGGGGTGGGAGTTGAAAGGCGGGAGGCTTCACAGACTGAAGAGCCCCCCCCCCCCACACGATGCTGGAGTCTTCAACACCATTACTGGACCTCCAATTAAGATGAAGCTTCTTCCCCGTGGCCAGACACCAGTGACACAACAGAAAGGTGGATGGGGAAAGAAGAGTAAAGTAACTGTGGAGAGAGCGAGAGCGAGAGCGAGATTTGTTGTTTTGTCATGCTTGTCAAATGCTTTGGCAATAATGTTCATAGTGATCAGCATTCATGCCTATAAAGCAAATTGAATTTAGAACGAGAGCGAGAGAGACAGAGAGAGAGCGAGAGAGAGAGCGCGAGACAGAGACAGAGAGAGAGAGAGAGAGAGATCAGACAGATGACTTGAAAGACGTGCGGACAGCTGGAGTTGGACTGATCAAGGACGGACCAGAGTACCATCACCATCAAGAGAGTGTGTGTCTCTGTTAAACACCAGCGATCAGTCGCCGCGTGCCTGCGGGCTTGCTCACTTTACACCCTGCTACTACTACCTGCTTGGACCTGCAGTCGAGAACCTCTCTTCAGAGCATTAGACGGTTGACCCGCCAGGGGGGGCAGTGATGATGTCATGCATTTTTATTGTCAAGAAAAATCAAATAGACACACATGCAGGATGACGCCTTTTTTTTTGACCCGTCTGACACAGTCACACACATCTGTGTGTCACGACAGATAAGGTGGTGCTCAACTAGCCTGGCTAGATAACTTCCCTGTTGAGAGGACCTACAGCAATCTGTGTACATAATGAACAACAACAGGGGAGGGAGTACACAACCCTGGGGTGAACCAGTATTCGAAGTAATGGCATGGGATAAGTGACCATTTACAGAGACCCTCTGAGTTCTGTCTGTTACGAAATTTAAAAGCAACAACAGTATCTGATGGGGTCAGATACTCTAAAAGAAGAACAAAACTGCACTTTAAGCTTCTGTTGATAAGAAAGAAGTGTTTGACGTACTTGCGACAGGATTTGGTAAAAGTTTAATTTACGTCACACGTTGTGTTGCTCTGATTGGTTGTTGGTCTACCTAATTGCGGCCGTTGATAACGCCCCATGGAATTAAAAGTTGAATTGAGAGGTTCCAGACTAATACGCATTTGCGTATTAGTGAGGTGATGCCAGGCTGGTGCTCAACAGCTCCACGAAAGACACCTGGAAAGCTCCGGGTCTTATTAATGAGGGTGTGTGGGTGCACGTGGTTGAGGTCTGTCTGTATAGAGGAGAGGGGGGCGTGGCCCTCGGGACGCAATTAGAAGACAGGTGAGTTAGTGGACAGGTGTTGTTGATGTACTCATCACTCGTCGTCTCGTTGAAATGCAGTGGTAGCTGGGCCCGCGACGACGGACGGAGGAACAGCGTGAGCCGAGCAACAAGACTTTATAGTTTGACTTTATACATTTCTGTTTGTGCACTGCTGCCACTCCCACCGACTAGCTCAAACCCCATGTGTCTGCTTCCTACTTTACAGTCAGGTTGCTTCCTACTTCCTACTGCATCCTACTTTCCACAGGAAGTCAGGCTGCTACACAGCTGATGCAACCATATGTATTGCTTTTGTATAATATGTCATCTTATCGCGTATATAATGTAACATATGAGGGCATTGTGTACATAGTCAAAGTAAGTCTGTCGTGTTTTTGTTGTTTTTTTGGGATGTGTCCTTTGTGTTAAGGCGGGGAGAGCCAGAGCAAGTATTTTATTGTATTTTGAATATACATGACAATAAAGTTGAACTTGAACTTGAACTTGAGAGGGTAAACTTTCTCCACACATGCGTGGTGAACCAGCCTCTGGACGAGGAGAGGAAGATCTTACCTTAACGTTTGTTTGCTTGTTGGGCTGTGGACCGGTGGCGGCGGTGGTGGTGGTGGTGATGGTGGTCTGCTGTGCTTGCTGCTGCTGCTGGGTCTGCAGTAAATGCTGGTTCTGGAGCTCCAGGACTTGCTGGGCCAGCAGGCCGCTGAGCTCCTGGACTTGCTGGTCTCTCTGGGCCAGCAGGCCGCTGAGCTCCAGGACTTGCTGGTCTCTCTGGGCCAGCTGGCCGCTGAGCTCCAGGTGATTCTGGCGGAGCAGAGTCTCACTGGCCACCAGGGCCTGGTAGCTCTGGCTCAGCTCTGTGTATAGCTGCAGGTGGGTGGGTGGAAGGGGGGGGCGGTGCAGGACAGTGGAGTGGTTAGGGTAAAAGGTTACCGAGTTCGATCCACCACTGTCCATCCGCAGCCTAATTTGTAAGCCTGCTTGACCAACCCCTATCTGCTCTTTAATAACATGCATCTGAATTCACTGTAAGTGGCTTTGGATAAATGACTGAAATTACGTCACGCACACACACACAAAAGTACACAAACAACCTCACACATGTGCGCACACAAACACACAGACACACACAGACACACGGAGAAAAGAGGCAGGGGAGAGGGTAATGGATGTTGGATTGGTGAAAAGAGAAAAGGAAGGACGGAAGAAGGAAGAGTATAATTTAAAGGAATGGGTCGGGGTAAAATAAACATTGCGCTATTATCTACCCACGTCCATATCAGTTAGAAGCTATCCTCATGCTACAAGGCTGCCATAAGGCTTTGACTGGCAGGCCTAAGACTTTGCATTTTAGTGTTGAACTATTGCATTACGATGTCGTCCTCTTTTCCATTAAGCTGGGAACAACCCACGTTGTCTGGACAGATGTCAGGGAAGCAGTTGAGAAAATGGCTGAAAGGATTGGTAGCGGATGAAAAGGATGGAGAGTGTGGGAGAGGGAGTGCAACCACCACTAATGCTGGATGTAAAGGGATGTACTTTTTTCGTAAAATTTCCTCCATTTAAGTTGATTTCTTTTAGCTGGATGACTATGAAAAACTTGCGCTAGGCTTCGGGAAGGGAACCTTTTTTTGTAGCAGATTATATTTGCCAAGCTTGGATGAGAAAGCAGAATATTGTGTTTAAGACCGAGCCTATAATAAGTCATTTTGTAATGAAATTAAATGTAATGGCATGTCTGACCAGTGCAACTGTACTTTTGATGTCTTGTAAACCAATGAGGGTTGGGCACTTTGTGTGCATGACACGACAAAAAATAAAAATAAATTACTGCTGTGTAAAACCACTGTGTGAGTCCTTTGAAGGGTGTGGACAGAAGCAACACTCCCAAGGGCCCATTTGTACTCAAAGAATATAGTATAGTTTGTTATAGGGTTTGATCCCCAGTGTCTGCAGCCTCTATACAAGGGTCTTAAACAAGATGCCTAAGCCCTAACTGCTCCTTAAGGTACCTGTATCTGAATCTGCTAAATAACTCAAATGGGGCAGGATAATGTAGGAGTGAGGAATGGCCACCTCACACTAGTTCATGGCCAAAACCTCTTACTATTCAATCCTTAATAACTTTTTAATGAAATAAAACTGTCAAATGGGACCTCTCAAAGTACATGACGTGGAGAGGAACTAGCCACCTAGATCCTAAGCAAACGAATCGCAATACATATTGAATCGGCACCCGAGTATCGTGATAGATTGCAATTGGGAGATAAGTGTATGGTCCGAGCCCTGATGCTTACCCTCTGGTAGGAGGTGGCGTCCACACTGTGTGCCTCCTCTTGGTTGCGCAGCACCCTGTGGGTGTCCAGGTTGAGCCCCTCCAGCTGTTTGATCAGGTGACTCTGCTCTGCAGCGTGCTCCGTGCTCTGTCTGTACAGGGCCTGCACCTCCGCCACCTCACCGCTACACACACACACACACGCACGCACGCACGCACACACACACACACACACACACACACACACACACACACACACACACACACACACACACACACACACACACACACACACACACACACACACACACACACACACACACACACACGGGATAATGTACAGCGAGCCGGTCATTATTGCGAATAAACCCTGACAGGGTGATGCGGGACCCCGACACGAACGGCTACTTACCAAAGAAATCAATAATTTGACACAAAATATAACAACAAAAAAATGCTTTTATCGATTCAAAAATGATTTAATTGCTTCCGCTAAAAAAAATTGTCCGTTAGATTCAATGGTTGGAAATAGTGTCCTTAGCAACAGTCTGCTATTCATAGCAGCGGTCTGCTAATCAGAAATAACAGACCGTATGGCGTAAGTGATCAATCAGAATCAAGTATTCAATAAAGCTGGGTAATAACAACAGATAATGGTGCACAAATTATGATACATCTCTTTATATAGTATGCCGGGTAAATATACCATAATAAGGGTATAAACTGTGGAAAATGTTGTGCCCTAGCTGAAACCCTTGGCTTTCAATCTCACCTCCACGTCTCTTACTGCCGTTGATTACACAACCCTACACTGCTTAGTACGCAAAGAGTAATTGAAATAGCATATTATGCTATAATAAACTGTTGGGACTGCCACAATATGTCGAATAGATACGTTTAGGTTAGAAGCAACCTACTTAAAATCACCTTTACCTACCGTTGTGGCCCTGAATCAACACACCGTGTTGCATGTCGACATCTCCATTGTCCTTCCCGTATTCCTGCATGTCCTCTTCCGACAGAGTTTCCCGCTAAGTGATCCTTCCGGTGTACAAGGACATCCCTAATCGCCACGCTAAAACACTAAGAGCCCTGCGCGGCGCGCGGAGTGACTGGCATGTCGGAGTGCCTCTGGCATTTTTTAAGTAGTTGAGGT